CTCTGAGGGGGCCAAAATTTCACCCCCTATAGTCAGCGATGGAGTCAGCTGACTATGCCGAGGCGCCGGCAACCACAGCCACTCGGTCTTGGAAGGGTTGAGCCTGAGTCTGTTCCTCCCCATCCAGACCCGTACGGCCTCCAGGCAACGGGTCATCACGTCAAGGGCATCGTTGGGGTGGCCTGGGGTGGAAATGTACTTACATTCATTGCAGCATCCTCATGGTCACATGATCAAAATTCAGACACTTGGCAATATTTATGACATTTGCAATGTTCCGGGGTCATGTGATCCTCTTTTGCAATCTTCTGACAAGCAAAGTCAATGGGGAAGCCAAATTCACTTAATAGCCATGTTACTAATTTAACAACTGCAGTGATTCACCTAACAGATGTGGCAAGAAGAGTCGTTAAAGAGGCAAAACTTGTTTAATAAATTTCTCATTTAGCAACATAAATTCTAGGGCCAATTGTGGTCGTAAGTGGAGGACTACCTGTATTTGCAAATTAATATTTATCGTATATTTTTGTTTCCATATTTCAGTCCTGAAACTTTTCTCATTCCAATCTTTGACTTTCTAATTATGCAGGACTTTATGCAGGAATTAAGTTTTTTCTGATTGATTTTGTCTTCAAACGTTGTCCAAGACTACGAGCAAAGTATGATACTCCTTATATCATATGGCTGAATTTGCCTACGGATCCTCAACTCAAAGAGAGGGCTAATGCTACAGTATCAAGACGGGTAAATCCATTTTCTTTCCTGTTTCTTTTTCCGTAACACAACTCTACACCATCTGTGTAGCTTCATCGAGCAGAGCACATAGAGAGCTAGTTATTCATGATTCAGATCCAATATTTACATTCCCATGTACTAATAGCTTACTGCTCCTGTCTGCCAACTTCTTTCTTAAATCTTCAGGCATAGGAATGCTATGTTTTTAAAGTAGGAGATTGTTCAATGGAAAAAGGACTTTAAAAAAAATTTAGACAGTGCCCAGGTTTTTTTTAATTAAAAATGAAATGTTGACAGCATCTGAAATATTGTAATATGTTGTTAACAATACTTGAATTCATAGAAAAAAGGGAAAGTAGATTTGGTGTATACAAGTAAAGTCTAGCTAAGAACTTGACTTTGCTAATGCCATTGTTCAACATAAACTAATTATTAACTTTGCTTTGTAATCATTGCACATATGTGAAGTAATGATCATCTTGGCTATGTTTAAGGAATAAAAATGCAGCAGCTAGCCAGATTAGCACTCTGGGGCTGCATATTTAATCCATGTGACTTGTTAAGAAACCAATAACTGCTTCTTTGTGCTTCACTCTTAAAGCTATAATCTAGTTGTTAAGACATTGAATACATTGTTAAGAGCTGAAAGATAAGAGTTCTTCCTGTATGTCCTGAACAAATGTTAGGTTTGTCTGCGGTCAGATAACACATAGTAAACATGGAAATTTCTCTCTCTCTTTTAAAGTAATGAAATACTTCTAGCCTTAAATCAGGGGTAAATAATTGGTGTCTCTGTTATAGTTTCTTTCACCTTCCAAATGTGGTAGCTAAAATACACATTACAATAAAATATATATTTGTGCTATCTTGAAGTGAGAACATGCATATAAAATATGCAACTAGGTATAGCAGAAAGAAAAAGTTAAAGAAAACTTCTCAGCCTTTAAAACTGGAGGGAATAGAAAGGAACGGAAAGGAAGATATATGATAGGTCTCAGCCCCCTGTCAGTATTTCATGTGATGATAATAGAGCAGGGGTCTTCAAACTTGGCAACTTTAAGACTTGTGGACTTTAACTCATAGAATTCTGGGAGTTGAAGTCCACAAGTCTTAAAGTTGCCAAGTTTGAAGACCCCTGTAATAGACAATAAGAAGCTTTCCCACCCTGTCTTCCGTTCATGGTTTTTCTAATGGGAAGTAAGAGCAGCTCCGTGGACTGTGCTCACGAAAGATATAGAAAGCCGAGCAATTCAATGTGATTATTAGATAGAAATCGTGTCCTGCAGCTTCAGAAGGAAGGATATGGCTGGATGAATTCCTTGATGCACAACAGATATAATTGGGGGATTTGGGGATCCAAAGAAACCCTGTTCTTTTCCATCCATATTTGGTACTAGCAGGAAGATGTTTTATCAGACTCTTTTTCCTGAATGTTTAAAGTGGCTCCTACGTACTTAACAATGATCTCCTGATGGATATGTTTCAATCCTTGTTATTAGTATAAGAGATCCACTAAAGCCCCTGTCAGTAACTTCCGCAATTTACCTCATTCAGCTAGTGCCAAATTATTAAAGAAGTGAAAAGCAAAGTTAAATTCATTCCGATTGTCACTCCTTTTAAAATCATTTCTCTTTTTTTTAAAAAAAATACTACAGAACACTCTCAAATATTTTCGTGAATCAATTTTAGCTAAATAATCATTTGAGAAATTATTAAACATCACTAACCTGTGCAAAGCAAATCAGGAACCAGAGATGGGAACATCTAGCCGGGCAGGCATACTTTTAATAAAATTCAAAAACTGTGCTCTATCCATTGATATCTTTTAGGGAGAAAAAAACAATTATTAGTTATAGTCCTTTGGTATGCAAAAAAGTCTTGCCAACTCGCTCAGGTCGTGATTTTATTCTGCATATGATACAATTAAATAGGTTTTGCTTTTTTTATTTTGTCATCATCACATTGTGTTTGTTTGTTTGTTTTCTCCTCCTGCTAGCTGTCAGGTCATGAAAAGGTATGGATCTTAGAGTGGAATATGTTCTGTCTTTCAGCTGATCATTTGTATTCAGAATGAACAGCAATTTGTTTCTTTCTCTCTCCCGCTATCTCTCCCCACCTCTGGTGTATATGCAAATGTGTTTGATTGTAATGTTTACATTTGTAGTAATTATAGTAATTGGTCTTGATTTGAATCCAAAGATCCAGACATGTAGAAACTGTTTTTACTATTAGTAGATCAATTTTGCAAAGTGTTCAGTATTTCCCTATTTAGTTGAAGACATGGTTTGATAAACTTGATGTGGCAGAGCTTTTATATAACTATTGTTTTATTTAGTTTTACTTTGCTTAATTAATAGAAAAAAACTCTAGAAGCATACAACAGTATTAACAATATGATAGAACTTCAAAATGAATAATCATGAAAGTTCTCTTGCTTGTAATGATTTGCATATTACAGTACTTTGAAAAATGTTTGATGCAGAAATGAAAGAATGTTGTGATAGACCAATCTAGTTGTCTGGGCAGCTGGGAGTGTTGGCACTCATAAGCCTACATGTTTCTTACCCCAAATTTAAAACTGTGTACATTGGAATCCCTCTGAATATATTTGCTGTGTCCAAAAGTAAATGGCCACTTGATGCAAAACAGCAAATTAAGCTTTGGAGACCATGGGTCAAAATGCAACTTGAAAAAAAACAATTTATGCTTTTCTGCCCTACCATTTTCCTCCTTACAATGCCAAGGAATAGGAAAGAATTGGTATATGTAGTCCTCGACTTACAATCGCAATTGGGGCCAGAACTGTTATGTGACTCATGCCCAATTGCATGACATTTTCTGCTACGGTTGTTAAATGAATCACATGGTTGTTAAACAAAACCTGCATCCCAGTTGGGAATGTTGCAAATGAAACCACAGGGCCCCAGGACACTGCAACGGACATAAATACATGTTGATTGCCAATCACAAATTTTGGTTACATGACCAATGGACCGATTGTAAATCACTTTTTTCAGTGCCATTGTAACTTTGAAAAGTTGCTAAATGAATGGTTATAAGTCAAGGACTACTTGTGTATATTCAACATCAGTATTGAGCTTATGCTTATTAAAAGCTGGATAGAATAGAAATAGACTTTAGATGTGAATGGTACTTCCCATCTAAAAAACATCTGCTATTTATTGTCGCCTATTTTCCCTATCTTGTAATAGCCCCGCTAACCAATATTTGCTGCAAAATAAAATCATGCCAAGTGACTCTCTTTGTTTTTATGAGTTTGATGAGATTCTACTTACGGCTTTTGGAAACATACTGTATATAGCTACACTGTTTTAAATTGCACCATACCAGATTGTTTCTTTATTGGTGGCAGGTCCTGCAACCTCATGAGAAGCTCCTCTCTGAAGTTCTGATAGTTGAGATTGGGTGTTGTTGTTTTTTAAATGAAAAATGCATTTTCTGACCCCTCAAAAGGATATCAAAACCTCAGGGACATGCAATGTTTTGGGTCACAACACAACTAGTTACATAATATATGGTCCTGTGGAGGATGTAGCTGAAGGAGTACAGCTCTGCATGGCAGCCTTTAGAAAAGATCCTGCATTGAGTAAAACTGCTTATGTATGAAAGAGCTTTGTCGGAATTCACCTTCCTGAGCAGTTGTATCACATGATGAGTCTGAGCAAACTATATTAATTATAACTCACAGCCTGATGTGATGGTATCATTCACAGCTTGATCAACCCTGGATATTGTGGAGAGGGATTGCAGCTGCATCAGACATGGGTTTCTAGCACTGAAGCAGGACATTTCCTGAGGAAAAGGGAAGATAACATAACTGAAGCTTGTATGATTTCTACAAGTGTTTAGTAAACCAAGTTTATGTTGTTTCAGCCTCAAACAGCAGCAACCCGAAGCTATGTAGGTTCGAACGCCTCAACAGGAATGAATCGAGATGAGGAAACCAGTCGCTTTCACAGCACGAAGAGAGGAAACTTCCATGAAGTATTTAACTTGTCAGAACATGAGCGTCCATTGGCAGGTATTCATACAACTCTAAACTTTGGAGGTGGACATTAAGTAATGAGATTTTTTTTAAGGCCCATAAAGTAACATTATTAAGAAATGATTGACATCGTAATGCAATCTACTGTTAGATTCCATGGACAGCAGGTCAATATTAATCTTTTATCTTGCAGTCAACAGATTTACTGTGCAAGTGGGATGGCTGATTTTGACCTTTGTTGAAGTATAAATGTGAGGAAATGGAGCATACACTTGTGAGAGAACTAACTTTACCCCAGCTTGAAACATTTACTTCACAGCTAGAAGAGTTTGTATGCATTTTCAAGATTTAGGTTCTGTTGCTTTTGGTGACTATTAAAAAGAAAACTTATCACATAAATCAAAGTTTATTGAAGATTTCACTCCTTTATGAAAATGTTTTCTTTGTAGGAGCTTGTTTGCCAATTCTGGATATAGAATTTTTAGCTGTATCTGAAATACTGTATACTAATATTACAGCTGCTTACTGTGTAAAAGTAAAATGGAATAATTGTACTATTTTATAGTGTGTGAAAATGGCTGGCGCTGTTGCTTGATAAACAGAGATAGGAAGATAACCACTGATTACATTAGGAATGGAGTTCTCTATGTTACTGAAAAGTAAGTGTTTGCATGATTTACAGCAGATCTGGGTTGCAAAAAATTGGAGGATTACTAGCTGGCGATAGGGAGTTATTTTCCCTGCACCTTCTATTCTTGTCCATATCCCCCCCCCCCCCCCGATCTGATAGTTCTATTTAAGTGGTGGGGGAAGTTAAGTGTTTTTTATGAACTACAAAAAAGAATTTTGAAGAAAATAACTTTCAGAGGTTTTTGGTGAATTTATAAAAATGTTATTGAAGAGGTTGAAGATGCTTGCCACAAGCCTCTGTAAGCAAGACTGAGATATAATATAAAGGTTAATGGAAAAGAGCCTTATACAAGGCACAGTAAAAAAAAATGGGTTGCTTTCAGTGGGATTTCCTTAGATGAGATCTTTATTGTTTTGCACCAGGACAAATTCACAGGTAATATGTAATTAAGGGAGAAAGCCACTTTGGTATAGTGATTAAGGCATCAGGCTAGAAACTGGGAAATTGTGAGTTCTAGTCCTGCTTTAGATACAAAGCCATCCGCACGATCGTGGGCCAGTCCTTCTCTCTCAGCCCTTGAAAGGAGAAAGCAAGGGCAAAACACTTCTGGAAAACCTTGCCAAAAAAATTTGCAGGTGCCAGGAGTAAAAACACTGCCTCAAAGGCAAAAAGAAAAAAAAACAAAACGATAAAGGCATGCCATGTGAAATGGTAAGAACGCCAGAAAATATGTAGTTTGGACTAATTGGATAAAACAAAAGGTACCCAGCTTCAGCATATAAATATTAAAATATATGCTGCCCTTTTCATTATCCAAAGCGACTCTGAGCGGCTTACAGTACGATACATACATACATACATACATACATACATACATACATAATCATTAGGTTTTTAAAGTTTGAATTTATTCTTGTTTTATATGTTGATATTATACTGTGCATCACCCAGAGTCTCTCTTTGAAGGAGATGGGGGTCTAGAAATGCAAAATGTAACTAAATCTATCTATCTATCTATCTATCTATCTATCTATCTATCTATCTATCTATCTATCTATCTATCTATCTATCTATCTATCTATCTATCATCTGTCTGTCTGTCTTGTCTATCTATTTATCTGTCTGTCTGTCTGTCTATCTATCTATCTATCATCTATCTATCTATCTATCTATCAATCATCTATCATCTGTCTGTCTGTCTGTCTACCTACCTATCATCCATCTATCTATCTATCTATCTATCTATCTATCTATCTATCTATCTATCTATCTATCTATCTATCTATCTATCTATCTATCTATCTATCTATCTATCTATCTATCTATCTCAATGGCAGTGTTTTAAATCATTTTTTTGTTTATGTTCTTTCTTTCCTTGCCTTTAGCTATTTATGCTTTGAAAGCTCCAAATCTGGTTCATCTAAAAGAAATAAAGTTATAAAACTTGCAGATATAACAGATATTCAAAAGGTAAGTACTTGATATTTCTTCAGTGTTTTGCTTTTAATTTCTTTTATGTTGAAGAAGCTTATTTATCATGTCATGGTAAAAAAAATCTATTTTTTAAAACGCTGTATTAAATAGCAAATGGATGCAGTGAAATTCTATAAAATATAATTTACTAACACTGATTAGGACTAAAGGGCACATCCACTCACAGCTGCCACTGGACAATAAGGTTCAAAAATCTATGATCCCATTTAGCATTAGCTGTAGGACTGTTCATGCCTCAAAAATAAGTTGGGGGAAATATTTCAGACTTTCTCCTCTGTGCTATTCTTTAAACAAACTGTTATTTTTTCCCCCATATTTCTATGCAAGCCTGAAAAAAAGATGTTAGTTGCCCTAAAGAGCTAAGTTACATCTTTTTTGCCAAAGATTTTTCAAGATTCCAAAGAACCTTGAAAACAAAGAGGAACTGTCTTAATGACTATTGGTGATTTGCTATGCTTACAGTATATGCTCATATGAGGCCTGAAGTAGATCTTCCAGTTGATTGCTAAAGTATGTACAGCCATAGTATATTGTACCTCTACTCATCAATTAATTTTTCTGCTGATCAAAAGTCTCTTTTCCTTTCTTGGATTAAATTTAATTCAAGACTGTCTATATTGGAATATATATACATATAATGTGTAATAATAGCAATACCACTTAGACTTGTTCCTTTTCCTCCACTGCGAAAGCAATATTCAGAAACGCTTATCTCAAATGTGGGCTATTCTACATTATATAATAACACACTATTTTTAATGCATCTATTATGAGTTTTGGATGGCTAGATAAGATATTGTGGTTTAAATTCCTGCTGGTTAAATCTACTTTTTCTGTTGCATGTGAAAGTATTCAATATATAAATCACGTTTTTTTAATGTTTATTTTAGTACAAAGTACTTTCTGTTCTCCCAGGATCTGGGATGGGTATTGCAGTATCCACACCATCTACGCAAAAAGTAAGCATGCATATTTCATTTGCATACTGGTTACCATCACTGACACTTTTGTCTGTATGGAATGTTGATTCTATCCCTTTTGGAGCACTTCCTTGGTTTGACAAATATGAATCATTTTATTAACGAACTATTTTTTTATTTAATGAAAAAAATAAAACCAATGCCTTTCCTCTTCTCTCTTCTTCCATTTTTATCCTTTTCTGTAACTCTTGTAGTTTTATGTTTGAATGATGGGAAGGATGGCTTATTACTGATCCATCAGCCCTTTGAGGGGATTTCTTAGCTGAAGAGTAGAGTAGACAAGGCATGTACATGGAATATTTTCCAATTCGGGAACATAATACTGAGGAGAACTCTGGAGTGCCCCATTCCTTTTCCAGACCATGTCAAAACATTCCATTCTTCCAAAGTCAGTTCAGTAGTTTCTTGAAGAAAATGCTCCAAAATGGAAGACTGCTTTGACCCTAGATCACAACGCTTCAATTTCAAAAACATTTGCTTTCAGAAATCAGCCCCAAACAGTGTAGCATTTGGGGACAAGGGAAGGATTTAAAGTTCTCTGGAACATCCTCTACCTCAGTGTTTCTCAACCTTGACAATTTTAAGGCATGTGGACTTCAACTCCCAAAATTCCACAGCCAGCAATGCTGGCTGTGGAATTCTGGGAGTTGAAGTCCACATGCCTTAAAATTGTCAAGGTTGAGAAACACTGCTCCATCTAAATACCCAGTAGGCCTATTTTAACTAAGTCTAAAATTGAGATGAACATCCTTTTGGGTACTGTATAGGGTTCTGCTATTAAATTTTACTAATGTATTGGAATGTTCACATTTTAGTCATTCTTTTATTGAACTTCTTTGGTTTTTTTTCTTTCCACCTGAAAGCCACTCGTGTTTGGTGCCATGATACACAGAGACGAAGCTTTTGAGACTATTTTCAGCCAGTATGTGAAGATAACATCTGCAGCATCTGCCAGTGAAAGCTAGTATATCATCCTTGCTGGTTTTTATAGGAAACATCGTGAATTTTACTCACCCAGTAGTGAATAAAAAGGTGGAACATCCTTCGTCATCAGTCCTGCAATAATTTTCTTTGTTGCATATGTCTAATGTTACAGAAGTGTATTTTATACATGCCTTCCATGGTTTCTGTTGGTTTTTATTTACTGTTTTTTGTAATAAAAGAAAAGAACAGTGAAAATGCTATCGGCACTGTTAGCCTTGCACATTAAGCACTTTTAATGTTTGCTCACTGACATTAAAAAGCTTAGGAAGATTCTTAGCAAAATTAGCTTGAAGGACACTGTCTTGTCTTAATTAGACATCCCTGAACTCTGTGGTTCATACGATATTCCTTTCGCTACGGTTCTGCACACTCCCACTGCACAAGTTCCATTGATTTCAGTGGCATTACTATATACACACGAATGGGTGCAAGTTTGTGATTGAACTCGGCAAAACCGGTCAAGAACATGATTTTGAGGGGTCTTGGTTTTCCTAAATGAGGTGTAAATAATATTTGAAAGTATGAGTATTTGAAGCTGTGCTTCCAGGAAACTTTCATACTGACTTCTGTATCTTTTCAAAAGACATTTATAGTTTAGAGACAGTTGGGAGATGCAGTTAATCTTCAGTCCTTTGAGAGTTGGTATGCTCACTTCTTCTTGGCTTACCTTACATATCTTGCTTTGTCATTTATTTTATGTCACTGTGTTGGCATAACAAATGTTCCCAGTGTTTTCAGTAGAAAAGCAACTTCTTAGAATTATTTGGCATGCTGCATTATCCTGTATTTTCCTTAAAATATTGGATAAACATAAAGTTTAAAGTTGTCAAAAATGCATTCATTGGAGTGAGGGAGGAATAATGGAAATAGTGTTGCATCATGTACTACTACAAGCTCTGCACCCTTTGTAGTACTTTGAAACGTCATACGTATGTAAAAAAAGCAGTGCTGCAACATTGGATCAACATAATGTTGATGAAACCCTTGGATCTTGCTGTTACTTCTGTACATGTCCATAATACCTTTTCTTTGGTATTCCTATTTGGTGAATTTAGTATTGCACAAACATTAATTAGCAGTTATTGATATTTTAGTTTCTTGAGAGCTTTAGCTACACTTTTGTGGTAATTAACTTTGCATCTGGTAGCCTTTAATCATGAAAAGAAATTGAGTAGATGGCTAAAATGCCACATACCAATTTAATATTTTATAATGATGGCCACAATACATTAAATTTGGTTTCTTTTATTTCAAAGTCAGTGTTTGGGATTACCGTATTTTCTGGCGTATAAGACGACTTTCTAAACCCTGAAAATCTTCTCAAAAGTCGGGGGTCGTCTTATACGCTGGAAAATATGGTAGATGGCCCTTAACAGAGCAGCAGTAGATCCTGGAATCTATTCTACTCCAAATGATCCCCTCAGTTGCTTTTTATTATGTACGTAGAGTCAATTGTTTACAAATATGATTGGAACTGTCAGGTAGGAAAACAGAGAGGCTGCTTCTGTGCTATGAACTAGTCTCTCCCAAACCAATCCCTTGCTTTAAATTCTGTTGTTGGCTCTGTTGCATGCGTTTGCATGTAACATGTTACTGCGGCTGAATTAATCTTAATTATTATATGTTCAGATGTCATAAGAAGATGGACTTTTGCAAAAAAAAATTTTTTTTAAAGTCAGAAGCATGACTAAAATTGTGGGCAATAAATGCTAGAAAAGTTTAGCAAACTGATTTATGTGTGGAGAAAACCTTGTTTCTCCTTAAAAGGATTAAAACACACATTAAGTATTGATCTAGAATCAGTATCTGAAAGGCTTAATAGAATGCTCATATATTTTCTATAAGGTAATACAGAGATTTTCAACTCATTGGTAATGTGATCCCCTAAAATATTAAATGAATTTACTATATATGATTCTCCATGGTGAATTAAACTCATGATTTCACTGGATTTAGGGTAGGGCAAAAATAGATCACTAATCTTTAATAATTAAAATGCAATTCATATACAAATACAATCCATATAGAATTAAACCATGAGAAAATATTACAACTTTATAACATAAAACCTTTTCGCTGGAAATAAATTATAGAGCTATCAAACTATAATTTTAGTGGGAAGAATAAATTTGTTTTCTTCTTTATGACCCTTGAAATCTGGATTTCATCTTTGAGATAGTTGCTCTCATATTTTGTTCCATATTTATTTTGGATTAACATTTGCCTTTTATAGCAGCAACTGTTCAAAATAAATAATTCCTAACTTTGCTGTTAGCTTGATCAGACAACATCTTAATGTGATCTTGATTTGCATACTCAAAACATTTGCAGAATCCTCAAAGTTGCTGATGACCGCTTGGGGCTTGTAACCCACAATTTGAGATCTATCACTGTAACAGGGGGAAAAAGTTAGTGATGGTAAAATGTCAGCTTTTTTAGTAATGCATTTCTATATTAACATTTGCGATTTATATAAAATGTTACGCTGTAGGCTACATAAAACTTTAAACAAATAAGGATTTTGCCAGGCATAATCCCAGCAAGTAAGTGTAAGGATGGGAAAATAAGCATTATGTCAGATTAACATTTTAATAACTTAAATCAGAATTGTAATACACAGATTTCGTGTTTTCCCCCCTTCTTTTTAAAAGTCTCTTGGATAGTCATTAATATATTTAATCACATTAATTAATTAATATTTATTAAACCCAACATGGATTTGTTAAAATAGATCATACTAGACAAACCTTATTGGCTTCTTTGACAAAGTGACTAAATTAGTGGATAAAAGAAATGCCGTGAATAGAGTTTACTTGGACTTCAGTAAGACATTTCATAAAGTAGACTTAGCCTGTTTCTTGATAAGACAAAAATGTGGGATAGACAGCATCACCACCAGATGGTTTTGTGTAGTCTTCAATCTACATGGAGAGAAGCATGCAGTGGGATATACCTCAAGGTTCTGTATTGGGCCCAACACCTTCATAAATGAACTAAATGAGGGAAAAGAAGGGATGCTCATCGAATTTGCAGATGATACCAAGCTGGGGGGAATAGTCAACACTTTAGAAGATAGGCTCAAGATCCAGAATAAAATGGATCCTGCTAAATAAAATGCAGTTCAGTAGTGAGAAAAGTAAGGTCTTACACAAGAAAAACCAAAAACAAAGGTATAGAATAGGTGACATCTAACTCTACAGCAGTGACTGTGAGGGAGCTCTAGGTGTCCTAGTGCAGAGGTCCCCAACCTTTTGGACACCAGGGACCGGTTTTGTGGAGAGAGGTTTTTCCACGGACCGGAGGGTGCATGGTTTTGTGTGCTGCCTGCATCTCACGGATGGGGCTTTGCTTGTTTGTGCGGATCAGTTGCTGGCATGCCGCAGCCCGGTTCTGGTCCATGGACTGGAGGTTGGGGACCCCTGTCATAGTGGACAACCAGTTAAGTATGAGCCAGTAGTGTGCTGTAGCTGGCAAAAAAGCCAATGCAGTCCTAGGCTGCATCAACAAGAGGGATAGTATCAAGATCATGTGAAGAGTTAGTACTCTTTATACTGCACTGCAGGTAGTCCTCGACTTAACGATCACAATTGAGCCCAAAATTTCTGTTGCTAAGTGAGACAGTTGTTAAGTGAATTTTCCCCCATTTTACAACCTTTCTTGCTACAGTTGTTAAGTGATTCGCTGCTGTTGTTCAGTTAGTAACATGGTTGTTAAGGAAATCTGGCTTCCCCATTTATTTTGCTTGTCAGGTCACTAAAGGGGACCACATAACCCTGGGACACAGCAGAGGTCAACAATATGAACCAGTTGCCAAGCATCTGAATTTTAATTCCATAACCACGAAAATGCTGCAACGGTTGTATGTGTGAAAAAAACTGTCACGTCACTTTTTTTTTGCTGTTGTAACTTCAAGTGGTCACTAAATGAACTGTTGAAATTCAAGGACTACCTCTCTATTACTGAGGTCAGGACAAGAAGTAATGGGTGAAAAATCATTAGAGATCCAACTTAAAATTAATGAGAAGTTTCCTGACAGTGGGAACAATTAACCAGTGGAACGGCTGGCCTCTAGAAGGATGCGTGCCACTGAAGGTTTTCAGTAAGAGACTGGACAGCCATTTGTCTGGAATCATACAGGGTATCTTGCTCAAGCAGGAGGTTAGACTAGAGGACCTCTGAGATCCCTTCCAGTCCTGTTATTCTATGTTCTGTGAGATTTTCTTTGGGGGGGGGAGGATAGATTAGCAAGCAAGCTAGTTTTCTTTTTTCCCCATTTGTATCATTTTCAAGTGTACTTTTTAACCTTCATTCTGTTTCCAAAATTACTAGTTCTGATAAAAATTAGATAATGGAGTTTTGTTTTGTTTTAAATTTTATCTCTGTTCTAGTCACCCAAAGACTTCTAGAACAATGCACTTCAACCTGGTAATCTCAAGATGTCTAGATTTTAGCTCCCAGAATTCCCCAATTCTGGCAATTGAGGTCTACACATCTTAAAGCTGATAAAGTTGAAAACTACTGTTCTAGAAGGTGGTTGCTTCAAATCTATTTGTGAGGTATGGTTATGCCACAATAGTAACCTTTGATTTTTATATTTTCAGAATGAAACAATATGTGTAATTTGGCTTTCATTTTTTCCCTGTTCTTCTGTGATCTTAAAAGTGCACCCCTTAAAGAACAAAGACTGGAATAGGACATGTATTCAAATTAGAATGCAAAGATCATTAATGTCTGTATCATGCACATGAAAAAAACAACCAGGTATTTAGGAATTAGGTGAACCTATCATGCAACCTTTAATTTATCCCAGCCTATTTCTGCATGAGGATATAAATTCTCCCACCAAAATTAGAAAAAATGTCTCAATTTGTGTGCACATTTTTCCTGATTTCTCCTATATACACTTCAACACTTCAATGGTGAAATGTATAATTTTGTAGACTCTTTTGATGACATTCATTTGTAAAAAAACATACACATATCCACCCATACACTAAAATGTGTAGGAGATGTGAAATGTAAATTTCACCATTGAAGTGCAATCTAATTTAGTCAAGATTTGGGGAATTAGGTGAATATGCATTAAAATGTGATCTATCTATTTTTTTCCTTTCTTGCTGCAGCCATGTACATTTTCCTGTTCAAAGGACTAGTGCATAACTG